CAGACCCTCAACTCTGCGACCGTTGTAAGGGACATACAGTTAGTCCTGTAACATACAAGAAATATCCTTTTACCATTATAATCCAATTTCCATTTTATTTTGTTATAACCTATAAACTCTGATACCGAAACAACGCCTCCGAATAACTTTAAAGTTAATTAATTATAAAGATTGTCATTTCCAGTTAAGTGTAATTAATACGAAATTTGTTCAAGAAATAAATGTTAAATAATTATTCCGCAGTGGGTATATTTTTAATTCAACGGGAAATTTATATATTTCTAATATAATAGCTATTGTCCGTCACGTTTGACTGAACAGGCGATGTGAACATTTGGAAGTAAGTTCTCACGGTGTGGAATTTGGTAGCAGGAAATGCAAATGAGACTAAGATGGCACCTATTGGGGGGCCTGGCGGAGTTTGTGTTTGGCACGAATCTGGCTTCCTTCGCTCTGAAGATGTTTTTACGTTTAATTTTATACTTACTCCACAATATCGGATTTTCTTAATTGTGATTGATCGATATTGAAGGTTTGCACAGTGACTGAAGAAAAGTTAAGCGAGCTTGAAATATATTGTGTAAACAGATTAGTTCAATTTTATTGCAGTGTCTAGGTTGAATATTGTGCAACGTCTCTTCAGTTGTGGTTGTGTCGTCATGGCGGCGGGCACGTCGAGTAAAATTGAGTTTTACTCAGCGTAATCTTGAAATGCTTGTTCAGTGGCCAGAAATCTAGCGTAGCAGAAATTCTTTGGCTAGCGGGAATGGTATCTCTGATGCCCCTCGTTCTATAAAGGGACCGATCGTTTCTAATATATTATCGGTAGCTGAAACACCAATGCACAAATGTTCATGTTATCGCCTGGATAACTTATTTCTAATTCATTTAACAAATTCTATATGTAGCTTCTTGAACCACTGTTTTATCTACCTTTTTTTTGTATTAACCTTACCACCAACAGTTAATGCCAGAATAATACCAAAACATGCTTTTTGGGTTGTCTCTCTGTAACTCCGTTAACCCTAGAAGTTACTGTTCCAGAATGAAGTTACACATTCTTGATTTATACGTGTAGCGGCTACGAAATTCCAATTATTTCTTGAGCACCGTTTATACTGTAAATAATATTGCATGTATAGGGGCTTCTTTATAAAGAAGTTTTATAAATATTGTACTTTTAATACTGCAATAAATTATAATTTATTGTATTTATTTTGTGTCAGTAATATAATTATATTACTGACACAAAAACTGTTAATTCCTGTCTACTTTGACCGGTCATACTCGGCTAGTATATGAAATATTTTTCATAACGAATTCATTCAGACTTGAGTGGCGTAGAGGTACTGAGATGTCTAGAAAGAATTTTCTGATGCCCTCCATTGCTGTCTGTGTGTAACTGCTTATGCTGGTCAGGTCTCTGGCTGGAGGTGTCTATCCCTTGCTGCTGATACTGATGGTAGAGGCGCTGGTTGTTGGATCATGGGACGGTTTATTTCCGGTGCAGTTGCCCGGAGGGAGGGAAGAACATCATTAGTCCCTAGACGCGCTGGGAATCGGAACCCAAGCCGGTTTATTGAATTGCTTCGACCGGCAAGATTTCTTTCTTCTTCGAAGCTCCGACCCCGACTCTTTTATTTCAAATGTTCGGGTGAATGTACACAACTTAATGATAAACAGTAGACTGGCTGCTTTGACGTATTTGATGGATGGAGAAAAAAATAAACGAAAATTGTTTTCTTTATAGTTCTCATATTGCCGTTTCTGCTTGGTCTGTTGTATAGGACGAGATAATGTAACCAAACTTGTAAAAGACAAGTCTGTAAGCGTATCCTTGTAACGAGGGAAGTTCTCTTGAGATGCAGAACACAGTTTTCCTTAAACCGTACATTCTCTTTCTTTTCATTGCAGATTTCCACAAGTTCATTGTGTGACACGAATGTGTACACATGAGAGAAATTTTCGTGATGCTAGAATTTTCTTAAACTTCGAGTATAAAACTCTGTATTCGT